GCCTCCATGGTTCTGCACGCACACACGCATTCCTCTTCTCTGACACACACACAGTAAAAATGTCTTTGTTTCACTGTTTATAGTCAGTTTGTTTCACACACACACCTGAAGATGAAGTCAAATGCAGTAATCAGTGCAGCACCCTGAAAATCCCAAAAGCTTTACAAATGTGTAAAAAATGATTTGGCCCAGACAGCACTGCTGTGACTTCGTGTTTCTCATCACTTACTGAGATGAAGATGAGACAGAAGACTTTGTATCTGTTTATTTGAACATTTGATCATGTCCTCAGTCATAACTGTGTACTGTAAGCAAACCTGTGACTGAGTTCCACAACTCCCCTACATCATCATCATTTGTGGGCTACAGCATTTAAACACTGAACCATCTGATGTGTGTCATATTGTGTAATGTGGTGGTACTGGTGGAAAACTTCAGTGAAGAGTAGACGACCTCTGGCTCTGATGAAAACTCAGAACACACACACACACACACACACAGAGAAAATTTTGATTTGAAATCCAGTGATCTCTGAGGTGTTCTTGCTTGAATAAATGGTGGTCAATAGTTTTCTCGATTTCCCTCAAAACTTATTTGAGAACCTTTGTAAGTTTGGAAAGTAATTGTAAGAAGACAGGCCTAAAGTCATAGTCTGGCTTTGCTGCTGGGCATAAGAAATACATACGAATTTCAAGTTTCAACCAGAGTGACCATGGGTATTTCTCTATAAAGATTATAAAGATAAGTCGTTTTTGTATTGGTAAGATTTTTAATGATAAACCTGTGTGCAAAACCAATAAAGGAACATTAACAGTTTAAGTAGCTATCTCCTGTCCTGAACATTTATTTATGTGTTTTGTTTTGTTCTCTACCCAGAGAGCTGACTGACAGGAGGAATGTCAGGATGGGTGTGTACTAATGGAAAATGTAAAGAGGAATGCGGAAACTTTCATCATCTCTGAAACAATAGAAATATCTGTTTGACTGGCATGCAGTTCAACAGCTTATTAGTGAGTTTGTTTCTCAGAAGCATCTCAGGGTGACGTCACATGATTTGGATTTCCTCAGCCAATGCTACCTATCAACCTATCTCAACTTTGATGTGAGAAAAGCAGGATACATCCTGGACAGGTCACAGGTCTGTTGTAGGGTCAGCACACATTCACACCTATGCAGCCACTTTAGGAGTTAGTAAATGTAACATGTGTGTCTTTGTACTGTAGGGGGAAGCTGGAGTGTCCAGAGAGAATCCACACAGGGAAAACATGTAAACTCCACACTGAGTGTTAAATATAATGTCCAAGCCTAAATTCAGTGATTAAATGTGAATGTGACTCTTAGTTTTAAAAAATTCACATTTTTAGTTTGTTATTACATAAACATACAACAATTAGCAGTAACTCACATTTTATCTTTTTTTATTTTATACAAGAAATGCATAATAACTGTAAGTTAAAAATAATATTTAAATGTTTCTACAATCAAAAAACACAGATTTATAAAAACGAGAAAGGACCATTTTATCTCTTCAACAATTGCTTTTTAATTTTAGTGAATTTGTTTTGGAACCTTTCCTCGGTCTTTAAAGGTAAGCTGGTATCACAGATTGTTTGTGGTGCAGCTGCTGAATAAAGAGACTGTGTGGATGCTGTGACAGCTTTACATGTCCTATCTAAGTCTCCTTTATTTTTCTTTTTGTTTCTTAGTAACCAGAAAGAAAAGCAAGGTTTTGCTAAGAGTTTCTGTGTCACGTGAAAAGATTTGCAGTGTCATTACCTCTCTTTGGTTTTCTGCTGGTTAAAAATCGTCTGGAAGTGCCTTGTTTTTACTGATTCTTTTATTTTTCCATCAACTTTGAAATAAACAGCAACATTGAACACATTACTTAATATTAAAATTATTAACTCAACCGCTCTGTGTACTAAATCACCAAATTAATGCTATTTTTAGCATCTCTTGTCTTAATTATATAAACTCTTTCAAGATTTATATTCTACATTTTCTAATCTGATAACTTTTGTGATGGGAGTAGGAGGAACTCATAGGGATCCTGTTTTTATGTGAACATGCACAGAGAGACATGTTTGGAGAAGATGTATACAGCTGAAGATGGATCACGATGGTGAGACCAGCTGTTTCCAACTGGGGTTTTAGGTTATCAGCTAATGCAGACAAAGCTCTGCTGTGTTCAGCTTGGTTCACCTCTCTCTCCTCGGTTGGGTGTATATGACAATAAACTTCTTGAATTTTGAATCAAATTTTTCTATTTGTACACATGCCAGTGATCTGATGTTGGGCTGTTGACATGATTTCAAATAAAAAAAATGTATTTATATAGAATCAAATCACAACACCGGTTGACTCAAGGCACTTTATATTCTATATAATTTGTATATAATATTTACAGTGGCTTGCAAAAGTATTCGAATTGAACTTCCCCAAAGTGGTGTACACTTCTCACGTGTACACCACTTTGTATTGGTCTTTCACGTGGAATTCCAATAAAATTGATTCATGTTTGTGGCTTTAATGTGACAAAATGAGGGAAAGTTCAAGGGGGCCGAATACTTTTGCAAGCCACTGTATATATAGTTATATATTATGTAACCGTGGCACATTCCACTTCACTTTAAAATGTCTTGAGTTGTATTTAGCTTTTATTCCAACATACTGAGTAAATCTAAATGGATGTGAATAATGATATTATTGAGGAAATGTCCTTTGTGACGTCAGTACAAGCCAGATTTTGGTGTGATGGGAAGAGCTCTTCTTATTAGGATAATCAGAGTATTAATTTTAACATTTAATTATCTTATCTTTTTCTTAATGCTTATCAGTGCTATGCTGTGTAGGCGTTTGACTCTCTCTGTAGATCTTATCATAAATAAGAATGTTTGTGTTTTTTTTCTTTCTCTTTGAGGATATATGTTTGGTTTCTTTTCTGTGAAAATGTGATAAAGGTTTGCTGCATTACCCATGATCACAGTAAATTCCCTGGAATCTTGCTCTTCCAGTTCCAGAGAGATAATAAACCAGCCGAGCTCAGATCTCAGATAGAAGCTGCAGCACTAAAGGCTTAAAAAATCAGTTTTATATGATATTTAGTTATTAGAAATCTATACAAGAAACATCTCCTGGATGCACTGGTACGCATCTTCAGTGTATCCTGGGGTCATCAGGTGTTTCTGGTCTCGCAACATTATACACCCTCACCCAGGCGACCCAGCCGGGGGTGATCAGGCCCCAACCTGCGTACCAGTAGCTACCCATGGATCAGCCCTCTAAATCCACAGCCACCCTGTGGTTTTCTCTGCCACTTCGCTCACAAACTGAACTACTTTGCTGCCCCAGCCACACCCAGCTGGCCTAGGATTTTGCAGAGTGATTGTCCTGCAAAGACCCTACAACCCACTTCTATGGGCTCATAGAAAGTCTTCCACCCCCTTCCCCTGCACTCCTGCACTAGTTCTTGGTACTTTGCACGTTTCCTTTTATTGGCGTCCTCAATCTGCTCTTCCCAGGGCACTGGGTCAAATATATACAATTCAAATACAGAGCACACATTTCTATCATGTTTCTTTATATCCGAACTAAAAGTGACCTTAAATCGGATTTTATGCCAGTTACCAATTCAATAAAGTTCTGCCTGCAGATTAAAAATTTGTCCAAAAACTGGTGAGATTAAATCTGAATACTGATTTTCTGTATTTATAGCACTGCTCTGAATTCGTGTTAGACCCTCCGCATCACTCACTGAGATGAAGCAGAGACAGAAGACTTTATGATCTGTTTATTTGTGCATTTGATCATGGCCTCAGTTGTAACTGTGTACTTGTGCAGAATTGTGACTGTAGCTGATGTTAGAAAAGCTTTAGAAAAGCATTCCAACTCCACTACATCCTACACGCAGTAATGACTGCAGCAGCCTGGTGTCCTGAAAGGTGTGTAAATGTGTCACTAAAGGTAAAAGCTTCTATGTCACTCTTCCAGAAAGGGTTCTATTTTAGCATATAAACATGTATTCCATTATCTCACTGGATTGCTGCTCATCCAGTTCCAGAGAGATGAAAAAGCAGCTGAGCTCAGCTCCAGATCTCAGAGAGAAACTACAGCATTAAAGGCTTAAAAAAGTCCAGCAGTTTTATCTCATATCTCATATCATATCTTAGTTATTAGAAATCAAATACCAAGCACACATTTCTGACATGTTTCTTTATATCTGAAATAAAATTTTGTCAAAATCTGCTGACATTAAATCTGAATACAGACTTTCTGTATCTACACAATATATTTAAATGAAACCTGCACAGCTGCACGGGTACTCTGGCTTCCTCCCACAGTCCACAAACATGCAGTTAGTTTAACAAGACAGGTCTATAGTCACTCTGGCATTACTGCTTGAAATAGAAATGCATACGTGTTTAACATTATAACCTATGATGTATTAGACCAAAGTGACTGTTGGTATTTCTCTATAAAGTCGATCAGAAAAAGATTTACAAAGAAGGTAAAGGCCGAGAAAATGAATAAATAAATGTGGAATTCAGTGAGACATGACAGGCTCTAGGGGGCAGTGTATTAGAAAAGTTGAATAATATTCATATTTTATTGTTTAAATACCTACTGCAATGGCATTTTTTTACAAGTCCTTAGCAGCCAACGTAAATAAATATTGATTTTTATTTTTCATTTATTCATTTTTAAAAAAATATTTCAAATGAGAGCCTCGGGTGTGTGGATTGATCTCTGGGACACACATCTCAGCGGAAGGACAAATAGTTCCCATATCAAATATTGCTTAGACTTGATACTTTGGTTGTGTTACTTTCTTCTGTTTTCTGTCTTGGTAATAAAAGAAAGATTTACTTCAAATCAGTGAGGGTACACCCCGATCTTCTTATATCCTGATCAGTAGGTGAAGCATATCGATCGTATGTTTTTGTATCAATCCGCAGCCGAGTATAAATACAGTTGCTCGTACACAGCCGTCAGTTATCATGAATAACTGCTTGATAATTATTATTATTTTACTTTTCGTTATGATGGGATCCCGTATATGGGCTTATAAAGGTAAGCTGAAAGCAATTGTTATTATCAGCTTCTGTTTGTTCTCAGTGAACTTTTTTCATAAAAAAACCCCCAAACAAACAGCCTCTTAAACGTAATTAGTAATAAGAAAGAGCAGAGACATTATTTATTTTTAATTACTTTTTCGTGACAGTAGGCGGTTTGAAATCTCTCCTTCGCCTCAGGACCAGAATGTTCTGTTGGGTGTTAACCGCTTTAAGATTAATTAAGGTTCCACTATGTTCAGGTTTTTTATTTTACCAGTTATAGTTTCTTAGCGTTTGCATGGTTTCTTAAGACTTCAGTAACTTGTATTCTGTTTACTTTTACTTTTCTCCTGACATTTAAGTTCTTTGTGTGTATGAAGGTGTATGCCTATTTAAAAATTGCATTTGCTTTTTTTTTATGCACAGCACAGAATTGACTAGAGTTTGTACACACCCTGTGTGTACAAACCTGGTCTAATAAGATGATCCTGATTCTATTTTTGCTGCATAGCCCTTTGCTTTTAACAGACGGTCCATCTTAGAGGACAGCTTGTTTTTGATGAGTTTGGAATATGGACTAAAATGACTGGGGAAAAAATAATAAAGCTAATTAACTTGTGAAATTCGGACTTGGGAACCTGAACAACATGAAAATGTGTCCTATTTCACTAAAGTCAGACACGTGGTGCTGCTCACATTTGTTTTTGTTTTCTCTGTTTTCTTTGCTGTGACTTTACAGTGAAAGTTTACAATTTGTTAAAGCCTCAAAGTGGCATGTCGATCCAAAGATTTAGCTGCACACACCTGTCTCAGGCTGTGTATTGCAAGGCTGTATTGATATTTGGATTGAAGAGAGTTTAAACTGGATGCAGCTCAATTTGACTGTAGTTTAGTTGGAATTTGTTTTCTAAAGTGATTGAAGGGGATTTTTTTTTTTCAAAATACCTAATTTTATTGTGTGGATATTAAAGTCTTGCATGTTGCTGCAATTTGAAGTAAAATAGTAGAAGTAAAATACCACCCAACATTATAAGTCTGTTCATGCTTTACCTTTAATGTGTCTGTGTACATGCTTCGAAAGAAAACAGAGGTAAAGACTGATTAAATCTGATTTAAAAACTGCATAAAGATGCTCCTCACAAGTAAGCCAAAACGTACACTTACCTACTTACCTACCTAAACATATTATTGATTGAAACTTCTTAGGTTTCAAAATAAATGGAAAGAAGAAAGTATAAAAATGCCATCATGATCACATTTCAACATATATTCCATCACTTGGTTTGTGTCCCGAAGTCATTACAAGCCAAATTTTGGCTGGTGTGATGGAAAGAGCTCTCATGAGGAAAATCAGTGTATATTTGAACATTTTTATTTATTTTTTCTTTTTGTTTATTCATATATGTTGTGAATACGATTGGCTCTCTCTGTAGATCATAAATAAGTATGTCTGTACTTGTGTTTTCTTAAAAAAAAGATCACTTTGCTTTTTTCCTTTTTAATATTTCGAATGAAATCTTTGGCTGTGTAGAGTCGTATCTATGTCCTCTTTGTGTATATATGCCACCTTATATATTGCCTTTTTAAAACCATTTCTTTTTGCGTGCAGAATTTGTGCACAAACTTAGCCTAGTGAAGATGATATGCTTCTAGCTTGTTTTGATGACAGATTTTGTGGAATTTGTGGACTAAAATGATTGAAAGAAAAAAAAAATATTTCTGTCATTTAGACTGTTTCTCAGACACACGGTGCTGCTCATATTTTTTATTTTATTTTATTTATTTTTTTTTTTTTTTTTGGGGGGGGTCTGATTTCTTTGCTGTGACTTTACAGTACAAGTGATGAGGCAACAACTCTGATAGCAGTTAATTTGTTTAGGCTCAAAGTGGTTGGTCCAAATATTAGCTGCACACACGCTGCCTCAGGCTGTGTTGTAGTAGTGTAGTAGTTGTGTTGTGTTGCAGGCCCAGTTGTAGTAGTATTTGGATTGAAATAAAACTGAGACTAACTATAGTGTCAAAGGCCACAGGGAGAGAAAAAAAGGCATACAGATCAAATCAAATCTGATTTAAAAACTGCTTAAGGATCGTCATCTCAAGAGTAAACCAAGGAAAAACAAGAACACTCACATACATGTTTACTGAGCAGTAAAATAATTAAATATCAAAACCCAATATCCCCAACTTCATTCATTTACAGCTAATCAAGATTATCTCTGCTGTAAAAGTGAATAGTCGTACTTTAATATCTTTATCTTTCCTTTTTCAGTCCAGGAAATAATAGCAGAGTCTGGAAGGAATGCCAGTCTTTTATGTCAATTTCCAAATAACAACCATATATCTCTAAACTGGACCAGAGTTGACCACATGGAAAAATATGTCTATTTACACCGGGACGGGCACTTTGATCCATACAACCAGCATCCATCTTTTAAGAACCGGGTGGATCTGCAGGACAGACAGATGAAGGACGGAGACGTGTCTCTGATTCTGATGAATGTGACGATTAATGACACTGGAACATACGAGTGTCGTGTCTTCGTGGGAGAAACAAGCTCATGGAAATCCATCAGCATCATCTCCCTGAGAGTTGTTGTTCCTCCAGGTGAGTGAGTAGAGTTGAGTGTGTGTGTGATCAGAGGTGAAGCTGCTTCCTGGTTGTTGATGTTTGTTTCTAAAGATGTTGTTGATGAGACTTTGTAGAAAGCAGCTGGTCTGAGTGATGTGATCAGAGTGCAGTAGATAATGTCTGACAGCAGTTTGAAGAGGAAATGGATTCTGTTCTGTTCTTCACTCATCACCTACCTGACAGCTGACACCTCACACCTGTTTCTCACCTGCAGGTCAGCCGGGAGGAGACACAGAGGATGGAGGGAAGGAGGCAGGAGTTGTTCGAGGACATCCTGGAATAACAGTTTTTCTCATAATTTGTGGTTGTACTGTTGTTTGTGTTGTACTGTTGGTTATTTTTGAGAATATTCACAACTTTAAAATTGGAGAATCATGTAAAAATTTCATTGACAGTTTTAAACAGAAGCAGTCTTCTGGAACACCACCTGTATAATTAATATAATATACAAATATAATATGAAAAAATGTGTTACTATATTGCATGATACTACTTAATGTTTATTGAGTGAGCTGAATTCATTACACATAAATTCTGCCACGGGTTATTAAAACAAAGAGATTAAGAGCTTGTGTACATAATTGACTTCAGGATTTATTCTGCTTCCTTAACAATGAAATACAAACTATTAATAAACTAGAACTAATACTCATTATAACCACCAACTCCTTATAAGGTATGGTATTGGGTTTGGGGAGGATAGAATCTAGTTTTTAACCAATTGAATAATTAGAAACCTGCAAACATATCAGTATAAAAGAATGTGACATGAAAATGTGCCTGATATAGCAGCTTCTCCTCACCAGTTTTAATTTGTTAGATACATTCACATTCTCATATAAAACTCTCTGAACTGCTAAGAGAAGCTACCCCTCTCTTTTGGAAAGTTGGCTGCAGCTGATTCCTCCCAGACTGTGGCTTCCTGATCAAGGAGGGTCCATGTACATGTTCAATTTTTTTGTTCAATGCTCTAATAAATAAAGTGTTTTGGCTGGTGATTCCTCAAGGTGGATAAACAAAGACAAACAAATTGGTGACCGTGACATGATCCACAGAGGATAATTCCGACCAGGCCAGGATTTCCAGCGGAGCAAGAATCCTTAACACCCATGAGATGTGTCTGTGAAGGTTCTCAGTCATCCAGGTCATCGTAGTCGAAGGAGCTTGCATAGAAAAGCATCTGGACTTCTTTAAGTTGCTTGAAGACGTTTCACCTCTCATCCGAGAAGCTTCTTCAGTTCTAAGGTCTCAAATTTAACTAGGTAAGCTGAAGCTGGTTGTTTAAAAATTGAAATTATGCACATTGGAGATTATACTAAATTATTTATTATACTAAATTATACTAAATTATGTGAGTGAAGAAAATTAGAGCCACCACACTAGATGTTTGTGTTTGTTGGATGATTAAAATGTCTTAACTACTACTGACTCCAGGTCAAGGTAGTTGATGAACTTTAAATACCATCAAGGAAGTTAGGTTGAGCTACTGGACGACCTCTAAAGATCATCCAGGAAAATGAATATATATACAATGTGCTAATTTTCTTTATTATATTGTGAGTGGAAAGGTAAGTGATGACTTTTGCAAGTATCATTGGTAAAATTAAAAATTAGAGTCTGTAAATATTTTAATGTAGAGATCATGGGTGACGACCCAATTTCTGTGTGTGTGAGAGATCATGTCATCAAGTGAAGCCTGGAATATGATGTTGTGTCGGGATTTAAAGTGTTATTAACAGTGTCTCAGGCAACAGAGGAATAGCAGGAACCTCACTGTGTCAACAAATTGTCTGGCTGTGGAAACCTCACAGTGACAACTGTAGCAGTGCCTAGCTGATTGGGCCAGTTGTTTGGGTGTTATGCCATACAAACTGACTAGCTGTTAAGAGGAAATTGATTGTTGCAATAAACTGTGTCACTGTGTGAGAGCACGATTGTGAGTTTCCTCAGGCAAACTGTAATACAGTTCACCAGATCCCCCCCGGGGATCAAATAAAACAAAATGAATGTATTATAGTAATAATACTAATAATAAGGGGGGTTCCGGGCCTATAACGAACAGAGTTTCAGTTTCTAGTTTTAGAAAAAATAATCAAACAGACAACATACAAATTATAGATGAATAATAATAATAACAATAACGAAGTATTATATCTGATTCTTTTTTCATTCTTGAGTGTAATGGTACATTTTTAATTTGAATTTATCAGAGCAAAATAGGTTTGTTTTCTTTACTTTGCTCTTGTTTTCCTGCAGTACCATGTCGTATCACATGCCTTCTTCAATTTCTCTTGAATCTTTTTAGAATTTTAAGAAGACAAGCCTAAAGTCACAGTTGCTGCTTGACCAAGAAATAAATAAGAATTTCAACTTATAATTTCACAGTTATTTTTATAATTTATAATAGTAATTTTTTATAAATTTTGTAAGTATCACAAGACCAAAGTGACTGTTGGTATTTCTCCATAAAGTCCATCAGAAGAAGATTCTTAAAGATGGACGAGAAAATTCATAAACAACGTCTCACTGCCTGAAAGCAGATTCTGAATGTTAAAAATGTAGATAAGCTTGTTTTTATTCAGCCATTTATTTATTTATTATTAACTTATCTACTTTTTCAGATAAAGCTGGACCTTATGTTTACAGAATCCATTTTTAGCTCATTAATTTAATAAGAAGATTTAAGAAATCTAGTGTGGAGACCAAGCAGTGGACTCAGTCACATTTAAATATTCTTGTATATTTTAGTGGATTACAGCCTCTGTAGGTGAGCTGTTTCCTCAGGAGATCCTCAGAAATCTGTCTGAGTGACATCAGAAAAGTTTTCTTTGTTTTTTAATCATTTTCTTTTCACTGCCTTGAATCATCCACAGATCCACACTTATATGTGTGATATGTATGGTCCTTTATTTAAATGTCAGTGTATGGCATGAATTCTGTTCCCATTTATTTCTTGCCCTCTGTTCTGTGATTGTTATGGTTGTGTGTATTAACAGTTCTACTTTTAAAAAGTCCAGCTCTACCGAGAGAGAGAGCAAGATTCACTCAAGTCTGTTGGGTGGAAAGTTTCAAGTCTTTATTAACTGATTTTAAATCTTCCAATGACAAATTCCACTGTGTGTGTCTCAGATGGATTAACAGAAGAAAACATGACGACTGTCAGCCTGGGGTGTGTATTTACAGGAAATGTAAAGAGGAACAAAGAAACATTCATCTCTCTGACAGCCAGTAATAATGTCTTTGTTTCACTGTCATGCAGTTCAGCAGTTCATGGTTGAGTTTGTTTCCCACACACACCTGAAGATGAAGGCACACAGAGTAATCACTGCAACAACCTGCCGTCTCTAAAGCTGTACATATGTGTAGAAACTGATGTAACTAAAGGTAAAAGCAACTGCTTCAGTGTCACTCTTACACAAAGGTACAGCAGACAAATTCAAATTCAAATTCAAATTTTTATTTGTCACATACACAGTCATACACAGTACGATATGCAGTGAAATGCAGTGAAATGCTTGGACAACTGCTCGTGACCTAAAGAAAAAAGAAAAGGCTATGAATAAGATAGGAAATAAATAAATATGAAAATAAAAAAGGGTAAATTTAACCAGGAAG